TCGGCGGGAAACTAATATTTGAATAGTCTGTCTTTGTTATTTCAATTTAAAAAGTAATTATTGCAACAAATTATTTACTAGAATGGTTTGGGAGATAGAATTGAAGTTGAAGAATCTGTATGAAGCATATGAATCACTTATATCTCTCGAAAATAAATAATAAAATCAAAGAACAATATTTGTTTTTTTTTCTGTTTAATTTCTTTTAAAATATATTCCAATAAACTTAGGCATATTAAGATTTCCATTGTATTCATCTTACTCTCTCACTGACAAATTTCACAAAAAATTTTATTTAATTATTAAAACATTAAACAAAAACTGAGTGAAAATTAACTTTCATTGGAAAACCAGAAACTCAATTCTAAGTCAGCAATCATGAAACTATTTTTATTTTTCTTCTTAATATTCACCTTTAGAAAAAAAAAACTTTAAATAAATGTAGATTATTTAATCTAAATTTAATAAATACAAATTATTTAATGCAAATTTAGTAATTATAAATTATTTAATGCAAATTTAATAAATATAAATTATTTAATGTAAATTTAATAAAAATAAATTATTTATGTAAATTTAATAAATATAATTTATTTATATTGCTTATGACTGAATACCACAACTAGAGTTGCCCAAATGCGAGACCATGAGGTGTCTTGGTCTTGTGCAAGTCTCGCAACAGTCTTCCAGTTACCTATCAGCTTCTTATTATAGATATACTACTGTAATTTGTCAGACATGGGAAATCTAAGCCCAAATGAAAAATTGAGAGTTAAATTCCAAAGGATATTGGTTACACTAATTCCTTACATATGGTAACTAAATTTTTCAAGTTTTACTATTACAACTATTTCAAGGTTGACTATTTTAACTTAATTTTTATTCATAAAAAGGATTTTTTTATCAATCTTGGTCTTGGTCTTACAAGTTAAGCAGGTCTTGATTTTGCAAAGTATATCACCAAGACTGATTTTGGACAACACTAACTATTATAAATCCACTATAATTAAAATTTTAAATAGTTCAAAATTTGATCCTCGATGTATAGATTCATTTCTGATCATTGATATAAAATATTTTTTATGAAATGGTTTACCTCTTACCATAATGTAGATATTTTATATTGCATCTCTTATTTTATTTATTTTTCATTACTTTTTTGGGAAATTAGAGATTGTTGGCTATAATATATTTTCAATTTTATCACACAGCATATACCAAGTAAAAATAACTAATAGTGAAACATAAAACTGTAAGGATAAAATACAATAAATTATCAATTGATTGAAGAACTATCCAATTTAACTTGAAAAAGAAAACATTTTTAATCAACAAAGGAATATAAAAAAAAAAGATGAAACAGAATATTTATTCACAAAGAAATTTAAATTTATAAATGCTGCACATATACATTTACATATTTACTGCTAAAAACAGACATATGAGGGAAATTCTTTTTACTTATTGAATTTATCCTAAGTCTAAATACAATAAACCTCTTAAGAAAACTATATTTAATATAGTGACAATTAAATATGTGTTCTTCATCAACAGAACTCATTTTTCTCTATGAAAAATCCTCTTAAATCACCTCTAACTGAGTTGATTTGGCTCATATAGGTTTCGAAATTGACTTAATCCTTTAATTTGTTACTTTATTTTATTAATGTTCCTTTGTAATTTAGTGGTTATGAGAGAAAAAGATTGAAATTAAATTTGAAACTTGATTATAGAAGATATTTTTATAGTTTGGGGCTATTAGCTGATACAATTTGTATTTTGACGTCAGTGATTTCAAGTATAATATTAAAATTTGGTTTTCATTTATAGTTATTGTTACTTTCAATATTAAAATATGAGTGTAGTTGATGATCCTTAAATCATAGTTTAATTGAGTATAGTTTATGATCCTTAAATGATAATCTTGACCTTAAATGATACTCATATTTTAATGATGAAAGTAACAATAACTATAAAGGAAAACAAAAATTCAATTTTATACTGGAAACTAATAACTTCAAGATAAAAATTGTGTTAGCTAATAGCCTCGAACTATAGACACTGTCTTCATACAACCAAGTTTCAAACTTGATTTTCATCTTTTTCTTTCATTACCACTGAATTAAAAAGGAAAATTAATAAAATAAAGTAAAAAATTAAAGTATACTCACAATTTTAAGTCTACGAAGAAGAAACCAAACTTGTCACTTTAACTTGGAACATTAATACATATAGCTATTGAATAAAAAATACCTATTAATGAACTAAATCTATTACTAAAACAACACAATTAAACTTTCAAACAAAATATCACTAATAAAATATGAGTCTGTGAAGATGAAACCTATCACTGAACATGAATAGGTTAACTATCACTTTAAACACTAAAACGTACAACTATTCAATAAAAACTACCTATAAGTAAACTAAATTTATTACTAAAACAACACAATTAAACTTTTAAATAAAATATCACTAATAAAATAAGTCTGTAAAGATGAAACCTATCACTGAACAAGAAACCAAAACAATCACTGAAAACACTAAAACGTATAACTATTCAATAAAAACTACCTATTAATAAACTAAACCTATCACTTAAACAACAAAATTAAGCTTCTGAACTAAAATACTGCTAATAAAATATGAAATTTTAAAAGTTTTGAGGTGCCTAAAGAGCAAGCAGATAGCAAGGGACGATCCAAGATGGCCAACCAATCAGAAATCGAATCCATATGACCGCACTGTATTATTAAGCCTAACTATAAACTATCGTTCATATTAAGCGCCTACCAAGTAAGCCTGCTGGCATAATCGAATCCATTACTTGATTGTTCATAGTTGATAAATAGTCAGGCACTTTATGAATATTATTGTTGTGGATTTCAATCCATGCATCTGAACCATCATCAGGGTATGTTACCAGTTTTGAAGGTATTCAAATACAGAACATCTTCAGTATTGGGAACATGCTTTTAGTTCATCAATAGGTTGTTCTTATTGAATAGAGCTATAGGTTCTAGTATTTAAAGTGATACTGTTGGTGTCATCTTCATAGACTTAGTGAGTATGCTTTAATATTTTACTTTATTTTATCAATTTTCCTTTGTAATTCAGTGGCAATAAAAGAAAAAGATGGAAATCAATTTTGAAACATGGGTATATGAAGATAATATCTATAACTTGATGTTACTAGCTAACACAATTTTCATTTTGAAGTTGGTGATTTGTAGTATTAAATTGAAATGTGGTTTTCTTTTATATTTATTCTTAATTTCAATACTTAAAATATGAGTGTAGTTGATGATCCTTAGCTTAATTGATCAAATAACTAAAAATAGGGTACTAGTTCACAACAGTTCCGCACGGATTACGCATGGTTCACAATCACTTCGATCACACTTGTTCCTGGAATCCCGAATGCGTTCGTGTTTCTCCGAAAGAGAACGAAGGCGACCGATCTCTTGGGCCAGTTACTATTAACTTTCCCGCCATTTAAGTATTTTAATTTTAACTAATTTAAGTACTTTAACCTTAACCACGTTCAGTTATATAGCAGGAGCAGATTTACATTCGAAATTTAGGCTACACATCATGAAACCTGAATTGAGCTTGTACATATATTATAGATCTGTAAAAAAGAAATAGTAATACATAAAAATCTTTAATTATTACATCTCTGGCTGCTATTTCACGATATTATTTTTCTTATAGATGATTTCCAATATTCATTATCTTGGAATTATTACATATTCTTCGTCAGTTGTTTCCCAACAACGTTAATTCCTCTCTCAAAAATAAATACTTTTTTTTTGTACCGTAGCCTACAATAATCCCTTTTTTCGGATTACCAAGAAAAATAACTGAGAATAACAATAATTACACATCATAATTACAAATCAGACAGTATATGAATACAAAGCGCCCCCCTCTACTAGAAAATAGCCCCTCGTATTATTAGAAATCTAAAAAAATATGTAAACGAGATAGACGATTGCGCAATTCTTAAAAAGGCTTGCTAAAATAAATTATAAATTCAATTATTCCCACTTCTATTGAAAAACTCGAATAACAAAAAAAAAATATAATAGATAACTTAAAATTATTTATTATCCAAATGATAAAAAATCGTTTATGCACAGTTATAAAAGATAATATACAGTATATGCGTATTTACAGCTACTACATGTAAGCACGTGTCAATAAAAATGTTATTACTAAAAGCTTTTTTTTTTAATACGGCTTGAAGAAACTACTCAAACATTATTTTATGTATTTTTTTTCTTTTTCTTTCTAAGTAATAACCGTATAATAAAAATTAATAATTAACTAATTGGTAAATACACAAATTTTTAATAAGGAAGTTCAATAAAGGGTATACGTTGTATTTTTTTCAAAAATGCATGAAAAGGTATTATGGGGTAATAGCTGACGTCATAAAAGACAACATTCGGCTGTTTTCCGGATTCCATGAACAAGTGTGATCGAAGTGATTGTGAACCACGCGTAATCCGTGTGGAACTCTTGTGAACTAGTACCAAAAATAGTTTTCTTTTATGGCAGAAAAAATATGATACTTATCATGATCGATTTTTATGAAATAGATTGTTGTGCTGCAAAAGTATTGAAATAAGAATTTATTTTACTTAGTTTTTCTAAATAAATAGCAGTAAATAAACAAAATTACTACAACTGTTATTGTTTATTTAAGATGACCCATTGCTCTGCTCTTGGTTGCTTAAATAGCACTGAAAAGGGTTTTAGTATGAAACGATTTCCAAGGGATCCTGAGCAGAGGAAGTTTTCGGCAGCTATGATGAAGAGAGACAATTGGAGTCCAACAAACGAAACTCGTATATGCGAGGTATCTATATGAATATTATTATATATATTATAAATCGGTTCCTTTTACACTTAATAATAATAATAATTTCAGATTGTTAAACTCTTAGTTATTATTTTATTTCTCATAATTATTCTAGGCTCATTTTACACCTGACATGTTTGAACAAAAGCGAACTGATGGAAGGCGCTTGTTGAAACGAAATGCGATTCCCACCATATTCTCTCATACCCCAGAGAAAAAATCTAGGAAATCTCCAAAGAAAAGATCTCCTGTTAAGAAAACATGTAAATCGACTATGTGTCCATATGATTATCATGTATTTATTTATCAACTATGATCAATCGTTTTAATGAATCTATTAAAGTCAATGAACATTACTAAGATCCTAACTATTTATCACGTATGATATGTAAAACATTTGACTAACTTCCTTCAATAAAACAATTGATCTTAAATTAATATTTGATATCTGTAAACTATGTCTAAGTAAAGATGATCCTGTTGCACATCATTGTAGTTTTTTCAGAAATCGTATATTTTACCTTTGTTTTGTTTTTTTCAGTTGTAGCTGGGTGTGGTTTTTCTATTAAAGAAGAAACTGAATCTATTCGTAAGTGTTCATTTTTTTACTACTTTAATTACTGAAGTACTTATTGGTTTCTGTATACAATGTAAAAGTAAAAATTATCCAGTTGGAGGTTACAAATATTACTGAATTACTTTATTTAAGCTGTTTCATTAATGATATATTTGCTATTTTCTTTAGTTATGGATAAAGGTAATGTTTCTATTAAAGAAGAAGTGGAAGAAGAAACGAAATCTGTTTGAAAGTGTGCATTATTTGCTATTTAAAATACTAATGTTCAAATAATTACCACTTTTAGTAAACATTGCAGAAATAAAGATGATCCTGTTGCAAGTTACTGAATTACTTTATTGAAGTTGTTTCAGAAATCATGTATTTACCCATTGTTTTTTCAGTTATAGATAAATGTGGAATTCCTATTAAAGAAGAAACTAAATCAGTTCGTAAGTATTCATTTTTTTACTACTTAAATTACTGATATTAAAGTAATTATTGATTTTTGTATACAATGCAAAAGTAAAGATAATCCAGTTGCAGATTAAAAACATTACTGAATTACTTTATTTAAGTTGTTTCGTTAATGATATATTTGCTATTTTTTTTTTCAGTTATGGATAAAGGTAATGTTTCTATTAAAGAAGAAATGGAAGAAGAAACGGAGTCTGTTTGTAAGTGTTCATTGTTTACTATTTAAAATACTTTTGTTCAAATAATTATCACTTTTAGTAAACATTGCAGAAATAAAGATGACTATTACTGAATTACTTTATTAAAGTTGTTTTATTAATCATGTAGGTACTAGTCCACAAGAGTTCAGCATGGATTACGGCATGGTTCAGAATCACTTCGGTCACACTTGTTCATGGAGTGCCGAATGCGTTCGGGTTTATCCGAAAAAAATAACCTAACGCGACCGATCTCTTGAGCCAGTTATTATCAACTTTCCCGTCATTTAAGTACTTCTATAACCGTAACCATGTTCAGTTATATAGCAGGAGCCGATTTACATTCGAAATTGAGGCTACACATCATGAAACTGAATCGAACTTGTACATATATTATAGATCTGTGAAAAAGAAATAGTAATAGATAAAAACTTTTAATTATTACTTCTCTGAATGCTATTTCACAATATTATTTTTTTTATTGATGATTTCCATTATTCATTATCTCGGAATTATCAGATATTCTTCGTCAGTGATTTTCCCAATATGTTAATTCCTTTCTCGAAAATAAACAATTTTTTTTTTGTACGAATGACTACAATAATCCCCATTTTCGGATGACCAAGAAAAATATCTGCGAATAACAATAATTACACAGCTAATTCATTCAATATGAATAATATCGATTAAAACAAAAAAATAAATTTTAAGTTAACAGTTAACTAACTGGCAGATCTGTGAGTCTCGTTGGGATTGGACATTTTTGGAATAAATATTTATCTATATAACGTTTGATAGATACATTTTATTTATTAATATTGTACGCTTTTCTCTCGCAATCTTTAATCTGACATTATTATCATAAAAAGCGCCCTTGATAACTTAATAGTGGACTCTTATATATATGAAATCTACAAAAAAGTGATGAACAATTTTAAATCCGATAGTATATTCATAAAAATCTCCGACGACTAGGAAATAGTGGATCCGTATATCTAAGAATTCAAAAAAGTTACACAAACATGATACTCAATCTCAAATCAGACAGTATGTGCTTACAAAGCGCCTAGAAAATAGTGGAACCTCATATTATTAGAAATCCATAGAATTACATTAACTAGATAGATAATTGTGCAATTCTGAAATAGGCTTGCTAAAATAAATTATAAATTCAATTATTCCAACTTCTATTGAAAAACTCAAATAACGAATAAAAAGATAATAAATTACTTCATAGGTGATAAATATTCAGGACGTAGTCTTTTAAAATTTTTTTTTATTTGTGCCAACATTTCAACCCAAACATGTGGGTCATCTTTAGAGCTGACAATTTAAAAATATAATCAGAGATATAATATTATATGACCGATAATGGTAAATACTATAGTGTTTTGATTGCACATGAATTTTAGCTATTATTACAATGCACAATATTAAAAATGAAATATGTAAAAAGTTATACAAACTAAAAATAATATATATAATCTATTTATAAAACATTGTAATATTTTCTCTTACTAACCGTGGTTCGAGCACTGATGCTTTCAACTACACATTTGGTAGGTAAATGGAAAGGTCGGGGGAGGATTTCCCAGTTGTCCTTTTTCAGATAGCAAAAGGTAGGTAAAATTAGTCAGAGGGGAGGGGGAAAGGTAACATTTCTGTTAGTAGAATGTACATAATTTGCTGACTAAATATTTTAGATGTGTACAAGATTTGCGTTATTTCTTATGGTTACAAAATGGTGAATATTAGCTAGTAATGAAATGAACATAAGCAAGAGGTGCCAATCAATATAAATATAACATAGTTTGATTTAAGGTATACAATGGTTAGCCAAATAATATTTATAATAAAGACAATTGTAATGGATTGAAAACATACGTAGGACAGTATATTATACAGTATTTTAAATATAACAATATTAATCATAATAAAAGTGTGTATTACATTAAGGATTACATAGTTTTAATAGTATGAGTATAAACATTTCTGTGCCTGTTTATAGTATATATATATTTATATTGAGAATGGGCATTCTATATATATATATGAATATGAATATGAATATGAATATGCTAAGAAAGCTAAACAGTGAGAGATGCTAAATCAGCAAGTGGAATGGTAAATCCCACCAATGCCAAGAGACACGTTAGTGGAGTCTCATGCGAACACTCTGGCTTGGTTAAAGGTGCGGGCAGCAACTTCTCAAGACTTAAGAAAAGCGGTCTCTGATTTAGAAAAATTCACCGGGGAAACCGGTGAATTGAACCATTTCCTAAAAGCCGGTGAACGGTTGATGAAGCGGATTGAGGTGAAAATAGCAGAAGAACTAATTGACACAGGAGATGCGAATTCAATTAAGGCAGATCTGGTTTGCAGAGTCAAAAGGAATATTCTTAACCTAATCCAAGCCGACGAAGAAACCCCTTGGGCGATTGTCAAGGATAGATTAAAAAAGGCGTATGGAGGCGGAAGATGGACTCCAGAAGAGGACATATTTCACATGTTTAGAGAAAGAAGACAGCCTAAACAAGCTTATGGGCAATATGCTGGAGAACTTTTGTCACAATATAAAAAGATAATGGCAAAGATGCGTGAAACGGCAAGCGCGGCAGAAGTAGAAACAAAGATGTCATTCTTGTCATCAATCTTAAAAGTTCAGTTGGCCAGAGAGACGGGAAAGAAGGATGGCCTACCCAGAGACCGCTCGTTCGTTGAATGCGCGCAAGAAATGATCGACGCAAGCGCGCGCGAAGAGGAAGCCCGGATGGAGATAGAGGAGTCAGGATGGAATCGGGTGACCTACAGAAAACCAAGAATCACACCAACAACTTGGAGGAAGAGGAGGGATTTAGAATATGATGAAAAGGAGAGAGGAATGACTGAAGGGAGGAGGCAAAGTCAGAGAAAATCTAGACCCTTGGGAAGAAGAGAGGACCGTAAGTGCCACGGATGTGGCAAACCTGGACACCTAGTGGCGCAATGCCCCCGCACTAAATGTTTTGAGTGTGGCACAGAAGGACACAACGCTAGACACTGTCCCTACATGCACCGGAGAAAAAATCTACCCAAAGAAGAGCCATTGGAAGTTAACGCCCAGAAGGTATGGAAAAGAAATAGGACGCAGTCAGAATCGTCAAGATCGACAGAAACGACCGAGACCGATGAAGAAGCTGAGGAGCCAGGGAGCAGTGGAGGTGAAGTAGAGAGAAGCAGGCGAAGGAGCGGACGTTGGCAGGTAACAGATGGAAGGAGAGAGCAAGTAGAGGCCTGAGGAGGGTGGTGGCCGAGGGGCGACCGCGTGCTATTGAACTGCAGCGTGAGGAGCGAGTATGGCGGTCTGCCCATTATCCGAGTAGCAGGTGGAGTGAGATGTCTCGTGGACACGGGGAGTTCAACTACTATCATGAGCCGGAGAGCTGCGGAGAGGCTGTGCGCTGGCAAAAGGACACTCCAGACTCAGGTATGTTCATGCAAATTAATCACCCTGGGAGGCCCGTGTACGGTAGAGGGGGAAACGGTTTTGAGATTGAAGAAGTGGGGCGTGAGGGAGGGTAGTTTAAAGGTTCATGTAGTGGAGAATATGCCTCGGGAATATGATGGGATAATAGGATGTGATCTATTAGGAATGGTCGGAGCGAAAGTTAGTAACAAAGGCGGATGGTGGACTCTCTGGATTGGTAAAAAGAAATATGAGTGTGAAAAACGCATAAGAAATGACGGAGCAAGGGTAGGAGCGATCACTCAGGCAGTAGACTGGAGGAAAATATTGAAAGAGGAATATCAGGATATCTTCTTCGAGGAGGGCGGTGTATTAGGTGTAACGGGGGAAACTGTTCATGAAATTCCGCTGAAACAAAATCGAGTTACATATGTAAAAGAGAGGCGGTACCCGCATGCGTTAAGACAACATATCAGAGAAGAAATAATAAACTTAAAGAAACAGGGTATCATAATAGACAGCACGTCACCATATAACAGTCCCTTGTGGGCAGTGAAAAAAAAGGGTGCGCCGGGCGAAAGCCAGGAAAAGTATAGAGTTGTCATAGATTACAAGAAACTAAATGAAAACACTGTAGATGAAAAATACCCGATCCCCAGATTCGAGGACATCCTGGATAGACTGAGCGGAGCAACATTCTTTAGTACGTTGGACCTGAAAGCAGGTTATCATCAGATCAAAATGCACCCCAATGATCAGCATAAGACGGCATTTACGTTTGAAAGAGGACATTACGAATTTACAAGAATGCCTTTCGGCTTAAAAAACGCGCCGATAACGTTCCAGCGTCTTATGGATGAGTTTTTGAGGGGTATCGACGAAGCTGTGTGCCAAGTCTATATGGATGATTTACTAGTATTCAGTAAAACGGAAGAGCAGCATGTGGAACATTTACGAAGTGTCTTTGAAAGGCTTAGGAAATTTGGTCTAAAATTGTCACCGGAAAAGTCACTTTTGGGTCAGGGGCAAATCAATTTTTTAGGTCATACAATTTCGAAAGAGGGTGTGAAACCGGATAGAAGCAAAGTAGAGGCAATAGAAAGAATGGCAATTCCGAGAGACATAAAAGGAATATGGAGATTGTTAGGGTCATTGAACTACTATAGGCGATTTGTTCCTGAAATGGCAAAATATCTAGTACCTCTTAATAACCTACTCAAAAAAGGGAAAAAAGTGGTAATTACACCCGAGATGGAAAACAATATTAGGCAATGCATGACGAGACTGCAAGATGAGCCAGTGTTAGCATTTCCAGACTTCTCGAGAAAATTTACCATCACAACAGACGCAAGTGAGTATGCATTGGGGGCGGTATAGTCACAGGAAGGGGACAAAGGAGAAAGACCAGTTGCTTACGCTAGCAGGCGCCTCACGGATACCGAAACGAGATATAGCGCGTTAGAAAGGGAGCTGCTCGGGATCGTGTGGGCCATTAATCATTTCAGGCCGTACGTGTTTGGCAGGAAATTTAGAGTCCAGACGGACCATAGACCCCTCCAATGGGTGGGGAAGCTAAAGGAATCTTCCGCAAGGGTAACGAGATGGAAAGAGTTTCTGAGTCAATACAATTTGGAAATTGTATACAAACCAGGGAAGGAAAATATTGTGACCGACTGGCTGTCCCGGGCGATAATGGTAAACTCGATAGAAGAAGAAGAGAGAGGGGAACCATCTAGGGATGTCAGGCAGTTGATGCGGGAATGGACACCCAAAGGAGAAGGAGAACGAAGTATGCAAGAAGGCGATGAGGAGACCCAGGAAGAGGATACTTTTATGGAGGAAAGACCCTTAGAAATAGAAGAGCTAGCAGAAATTATTAATGACAAACGACATCAAATTATATGGAAGACCAGGACTACGGGGACAACAAAGATTGAGTACGATGAGTATGGAAAGTGCAAGATCACTAAAATCTGGTCGCAACCAGGAATTAAAGAGGACTTAATTTGTCGCGCACTCAAGGATGTGTCAAAACCAGACACCACCCATCACATATACGTCGGGAATGCGACGGTCTGGGATAAGATTAAGCGGTTATGGCGGTCAGAGAAAATCGGTACGGACAGAAGATTTATTCGATGCACCCTGAAGGTTGAAACACTGAAGGATAAAGAGACCCAACAGGAGGTGACGATCGCATATCACCAGGGTAAGACGAATCATCGAGGAATACAAGAGACATTGCAAGCACTAAAACGGAAGTATTTTTGGTGGGGGATGAGGCAAACAATCAAAGGGGTCATTGGGGCTTGTGAAATATGCTTAACCACCAAATACGATAGGCACCCTCCCAGAGCAATACAGGAAGAGACGCCCACTGCAGATTCACCATTAACGGACCTACAAATAGACACTTTCACTTGGAGGGGATATAAATGGGTCACGCTGATGGATCTTTTTAGTAAGGCAGCAATGGCGTACCTGATCCAGGAGCGGTCGTCAGAAGCAGTCTTGGGGCTCTAATAACATGGTTCCAGTTTTATGGCGTACCTGACCGGATTGCATCAGATGGTGGAAAGGAATTTAACAATGCCATTATGCGAGCAGAGGCGAAGATCTTGGATATTACATGGCACATTAACACCCCTGAACATCCAAAGAGTAGAGGAGGCATAGAACAACTACATAGCACGCTTAGTGACCACCTTAGAATATATCACGCAGAAAAAGGGCTAGAACCCGGTGTGGCGATGTCGAAGGCTATCACGGCATATAATCATTCAATTCATACCGCAACAGGTTTTTCACCTTTCGAGATCCTATTTGGGCTGCGGGAACGACCCAGGGATAGCACGAGTACGACAGTGGACGAGGAATTATCGGAACGTGTCGTTAATAATAGAATAGCGTTGGTGAAACGATGGGAGAAAGTCCGTAGTAAAATTGAGAACGAAAAAAGTAGGAGGGTAAGAAAAGATAACTTAGGGCTGAAGGATGTACTGGGTGATATTAAAATTGGAACGATAGTGTACAGGAGGAGAGGGTCCAATAGCGGCAAGGAGCTAGTGAGGTACGGGGGCCCATTCAGGGTGATCGCCATTCGTGAACATAACACTGTGTCTATAGAGAGCTTGAAAGAGCCTAAGAAGCGCAGAACAGTCCACATCGAACAACTAAAGCTTCCAAAAGGTGCGCCAAAGCAACCATAAATAGATGGAATGTCCTCATTGTGGGACAGGAAGATTTTTTTTTTGTAGTTATATTTTTGCACTATTGCAGATTTTTTTATTGTTTTATTACTTAACCATTCTTTTGCATCAAGTGAATTAAGTAACCACAGTGCAAAGTTCTCATTGTATACCAATGTAAAATTTTATTGATGAAATAGCCTGATGACGCTTCACTCCAGACTTGACCTACCTGTAAGATTCAGATATTAGTTTACGAAGAATATTCATAAACTGGCAGGGGGGAGTTAAGGTCCGGTGTGAGATAGATAAGACTTTTAATACTTAATATTATTTGTTTCATTTAAAAATAAACACATTATTATTTCTTGCAATTTAAAATAAACACATGTTAAAATATGTTAAAAAACACATGTTAAAAGATATACGGATATAACCTTTTTTTGAGTTAGATACTACTGTTTGTTGTTAAATAAAAACTATTGAATTATTTCCAGTTATTTGTTTCTTCATTTTTCTATTTATCGAAGCCAATAGTTAACTTATATATATATATACATATATATACATATATATATACATATATATATATATATATGTATATATATATGTATATATATATATATATATATATATATATGTATATATATATATATATATATATATATATATATATATAACCCTTTATTTAATTATTGAAGTTGTTTCATAAATCATGTATTTACCCATTGTTTTTTTTTTTTTTCAGTTATAGATAAATGTGGAGTTTCTATTAAAGAAGAAATTGAATCTTTTAGTAAGTGTTCATTGTTTGCTGTCTAAAATACTGATGTTCAAATAATTATCACTTATAGTAAACATTATAGAAATAAAGATGACCCTATTACTGAATTACTTTATTAAAGTTGTTTTATAAATCATGTATTTACTCATTGTTTTTTTCATTTATAGATAAATTGTTTGTTTCTATTGAAGAAGAAACTGAATCTATTCGTAAGTGTTCATTTTTTTACTATTTAAATTACTGATATTAAAGCAATTATTGATTTTTGTATACAATGCAAAAGTAAAGATGATCCAGTTGCAGGTTAAAAACATTACTGAATTACTTTATTTAAGTTCTTTCATAAATCATGTATTTACACATTTTTTTCAGTTATAGATAAATGTGTTTTTTCTATTAAAGAAGAAACTGAATCTATTCATAAGTGTTCATTTTTTTACTACTTAAATTACTGATATTAAAGTAATTATTGATTTTTGTATACAATGCAAAAGTAAAGATGATCCAGTTGCAGATTAAAAACATTACTGAATTACTTTATTTAAGTTCTTTCATAAATCATGTATTTACACATTTTTTTTTCAGTTACAGATAAATGTGTTTTTTCTATTAAAGAAGAAACTGAATCTATTCATAAGTGTTCATTTTTTTACTACTTAAATTACTGATATTAAAGTAATTATTGATTTTTGTATACAATGCAAACTTAAACATAAGGATATTCATAAATATACTTGGACATCACCGGATTCGCAAACACGAAATCAAATCGATCATGTCTTGATACAACACAGCTGGCAAAGCAGTATAATTAATGTACGGTCTTATCGCGGAGCAGAATGTGGGTCGGACCATGAATTAGTAATCGCGAAACTTCGACAAAAACTTAATATAAAAAAGAGAAAAGAAAACCGTTTCGATTTTGAGAATTTTAATTTGGAAAAATTAAAAAATCCATCAATTAGAAACCAATTCGAGCTAGATGTTAAGAATAGGTTTGAAGCTTTAGAGCTTCCTGACGAGGACCACGAGGATATTGACAAGTTATGGATAGAGATCAGAGATAATATTAAAGCGGTCGGTAACTCGTGTCTAGGAAAAAAGGAAAATAAGAATAACAAACCGTGGTTTGATGAAGATTGCTTAAACATGTGTGAAAAAAGAAAAGCCGCTAAATTAAAAGCTCTAAATAATCCTAGCGAAGACAACCTGGAATACTTCCGAATCTCAAAGAACGAAACGACAAAATTGCTCAAACATAAAAAAAGGGAGTATCTTAAAAATAAAATAATTGAAATAGAAACTAATAGAATCGAAAATAACGTAAGAGACATGTACAAAGGTATAAACAGATCACGTAAATATGTAGGGTCCGTAACGTCTGGAATTAGGGATGATAATAACAATATTCTGACCGATCCGGTTGACATATTGAATAAGTTTAAGGACCACTTTGACAATATTTTAAATACGGGAAATTATGATCTGTGTCCTCCTTCTGAGTACCAGAGTGCTGAACCGTTAATAGAAGGACCAAGTAAAGAGGAAGTTGAAGTAGCTATCGGAAAATTAAAATCATATAAAGCTGCGGGAATCGATAATATTCCTACTGAACTAATTAAGGCATGCGGAGAAGCTGGAGTTTCTAAAATACATCGGTTGGTTAAAAAGATATGGGTGAACGAGAAATTACCTGAAGAATGGAAAGAATCTATTCTTATTCCGATTCACAAAAAGGGTCCGAGGACGGATTGTAATAACTATCGAGGAATTTCACTCCTTCCGGTATGTTATAAAATATTCACTTTAATCTTAACCAGTCGAATCACGGAATACGCCGAGGAAATTATCGGAGACTACCAATGCGGATTTAGACGGAATCGTTCGACAATTGATCAAATATTTTCTTTACGGCAAATATTAGAGAAAAAATTGGAGTATAACGGTATTGTTCACCAGCTGTATATAGATTTTAAAAAGGCTTACGATTCTATTGACCGCCAGAAACTGTATAATATTCTAATCGAGCAGGGGATTCCAAAAAAACTAGTAAATCTAGTCAGGATGTGCTTGACGGAGACACTCAATAAAGTTAGAATCGGTAATAATTTGTCCGAAAAATTTGAGGTTCGTTCGGGCTTAAAACAGGGGGATTCTCTTTCGCCTGTCCTGTTCAATTTGGCATTAGAACATGCCATTAGGGAGGTAATGCGAACCGAGAAAGGGTTGGATCTGGGCGGGACAACATCCGTGCTGGGCTATGCTGATGATCTGGTACTGTTAAGCGAAGACGTTGAAACTATAAAACTAAATACGACAACGTTAATGAAAGCCGGTAAAGAACTAGGACTCGAAATAAACGTGGATAAAACAAAATATATGGTTAGCTGCAAAAATGGCGATACTACTGGTGATATCGATATAGATGGTAATGTGTTTGAACAGGTAGATAAATTTAGGTATCTAGGTTCTACGATAACTAGAAAAAACGAAATTGAAGAAGAGATTAAGGTTAGACTGAAGGCGGGGAATGCTTGTTATTTTTCTGTGACAAAACTACTTAGTTCGCGCCTCTTGTCCCGAAACTTAAAAATTAGACTCTATAAAACAATTATCTTGCCTACAGTTCTTTATGGATGCGAAACTTGGCCGCTTACATTAAGGGATGAGCAGCGTCTTAAGGTTTTTGAAACTAAAGTATTGCGTAGAATATTCGGACCGAAGAAGGATGAGTTAACCGGAGAGTTCAGACGGTTACACAACGCCGAATTGCGTGAGATGTATCCGGGTAATATAATTGAGGTAATTTCATCGTGGCGAATCAAATGGGCTTGTAAAGTTGTTGGGCTTAGTAACGAGAGAATTCCTAAAAGGTTAATATTTGCTGTGCCGAATGGTAAGCGTCCGAGGGGTAGACCGAAGCGAAGGTGGGAAGATTGCATTAAAGCCGATCTGAAGGGACTGGGTTTGGACGGCGAACGGTGGAGGGAGGTGTGTAACAAGCGACTGGTGGTGTCGGCATCGAACCTTCGGGTTCGCTAAGCCTTATTATTATTATTATTATACAATGCAAAAGTAAAGATGATCCAGTTGCAGATTAAATGAATTACTTTATTTAAGTTCTTTCATAAATCATGTATTTACACATTTTTTTTTTCAGTTATAGATAAATATGTTTTTTCTATTAAAGAAGAAACTGAATCTATTCATAAGTGTTCATTTTTTTACTACTTAAATTACTGATATTAAAGTAATTATTGATTTTTGTATACAATGCAAAAGTAAAGATGATCCAGTTGCAGATTAAATGAATTACTTTATTTAAGTTCTTTCATAAATCATGTATTTACACATTTTTTTTTCAGTTATAGATAAATGTGTTTTTTCTATTAAAGAAGAAACTGAATCTATTCATAAGTGTTCATTTTTTTACTACTTAAATTACTGATATTAAAGTAATTATTGATTTTGTATACAATGCAAAAGTAAAGATGATCCAGTTGCAGATTAAAAACATTACTGAATTACTTTATTTAAGTTCTTTCATAAATCATGTATTTACACATTTTTTTTTTTCAGTTACAGATAAATGTGGAGTTTCTATTGAAGAAGAAATTGAATCTTTTAGTAAGTGTTCATTGTTTGCTGTCTAAAATACTGATGTTCAAATAATTATCACTTATAGTAAACATTATAGAAATAAAGATGACCCTATTACTGAATTACTTTATTAAAGTTGTTTTATAAATCATGTATTTACTCATTGTTTTTTTCATTTATAGATAAATTGTTTGTTTCTATTGAAGAAGAAACTGAATCTATTCGTAAGTGTTCATTTTTTTACTATTTAAATTACTGATATTAAAGCAATTATTGATTTTTGTATACAATGCAAAAGTAAAGATGATCCAGTTGCAGGTTAAAAACATTACTGAATTACTTTATTTAAGTTCTTTCATAAATCATGTATTTACACATTTTTTTTTCAGTTATAGATAAATGTGTTTTTTCTATTAAAGAAGAAACTGAATCTATTCATAAGTGTTCATTTTTTTACTGCTTAAATTACTGATATTAAAGTAATTATTGATTTTTGTATACAATGCAAAAGTAAAGATGATCCAGTTGCAGATTAAAAACATTACTGAATTACTTTATTTAAGTTCTTTCATAAATCATGTATTTACACATTTTTTTTCAGTTATAGATAAATGTGTTTTTTCTATTAAAGAAGAAACTGAATCTATTCATAAGTGTTCATTTTTTTACTGCTTAAATAATTATTGATTTTTGTATACAATGCAAAAGTAAAGATGAGGCAGTTGCAAATGCGTGTAATAAATGATATATTTGCTATTTTTTTTCAGTTATGGATAAAGGTAATGTTTCTATTAAAGAAGAAATAGAAGAAGAAACGGAATCTGTTTGTAAGTGTTCATTGTTTGCTATTTAAAATACTGATGTTCAAATAATTACCACTTTTAGTAAACATTGCAGAAATAAAGATGATCCTGTTGCAAGTTACTGAATTACTTTATTGAAGTTGTTTCTTAAATCATGTATTTACCATTGTTTTTTTTGTTTTTTTTCAGCTATAGATAAATGTGGAGTTTCTATTAAAGAAGAAACTGAATCAGTTCGTAAGTGTTTATTTTTTTACTACTTAAATTACTGATGTTTAAGTAATTATTGATTTTTGTATACAATGCAAAAGTAAAGATGATCCAGTTGCAGGTTACAAACATTACTAAATTACTTGATTGAAGTTGTTTAATTAATCATATATTTACGATTGGTTTTTTCGATTGTGGATAAGGGTTAAATTTATCTTTGATCAAAACAAAAGTAAAGATGTTCCTTTTGCATTATAAATGTTATTGAATTACACTATTAAACTTGTTTCATAAATCACATTTTTCTTATTTTTTTTTTTTCCGTTATGGATAATGGTTATGTTTCTATTAAAGGAGAATTAGAAGAAGAAGCTAAGTCTATTCTTAAGTGTTCATTTTTTATTGTAAATACTGATGATTAGAGCCGGCGTAGGGAGGTGGCGGTCCCATCGCCCGATCATTGTACCGCAACCAGCCACTGGCCCTCCAGGTTGGGGGAACACTTACACGAACACATACACCAAGTACACTTTATACAGCACACTACAACACCTAAACACTACAGACAAAGGTCACCTACAGTACACACCCTAGGGTCACCTTCCCTAGGTAGCCGCCCCGGATGGGGGAGCTAGTCAGGATGCTCAGAGGAGGCAGCCCCTCTACCTGACTCGGGGGCAGTGGTGGGCTGATAACCCACCCCCCCTAAAGTACCTTATTACGAAACCTCAAAGAGAAGAAGCCGGACTGAATTACGGTAACAGACCCAGGAAACGCCTAAATGACCTAAGAATTGGATTTTGGAACATTTTATCATTACATAGACTAGGAGCACTTCGTGCACTCCTTGCAAAAGTGGACACATATAGAATCGACATAGCAGCTATCCAAGAGGTCCGATGGATAGGACAGGGAATTATGGAGAAGAAGTACCATACACTCTACTATAGCTGCCATGAAAAGCATCACGTCTTCGGTACCGGATTTGTTGTGAGACGCAGAGCTCGAGAGCTAGTGATGCGATTTACTCCCATTAACCAAAGGTTATGCTACATTCGGCTTAGAGGAAAATTTTTTAATTTCTCTCTAATTAACTGCCATGCCCCAACAAAGGTGTCACCTGAGGAGGATAAGGAAAAGGAAACATTTTATGAAGAACTTGGACGCGTGACAGAAAGCTGCCCCAAAAATGATGTTAAAATCATTCTTGGTGACTTTAACGCCCAAGTTGGTAAGGAGGTGGCACTCATGCTGACCATAGGAACCCACAGCTTGCATAAGACCAGTAATGATAATGGGCTACGGATGGTGAACTTTGCTACATTGCACGGACTGGTTGTTGGAACAACTCTTTTTCCTCGAAAGAATATCCAAAAAACAACATGGATCTCTCCAAATGGGCAAACATCACAGATAGACCATGTACTCATTAGTGCCCGTCACAAGTCCAACATGATAAATGCAAGATCTTATAGAGGTGCAAATATGGACACGGATCACTATTTGAGCATTGCCGAGGTCAGATCACGAATTTCGCTGATTAAAAACCACCACCAACGACCAAAGAAGAAGATTGATGTAGCTAAACTTAAGGACTCAGACCACCAATATTCGTATCAACAAGCTGTGGAGACGAAACTTAATGAAGATGTAATTAATGACAGCTCTATGGTCGATGAACAGTGGAAGAGATGCAGCAACGCAATGAAACAGGCAGCAGAAGAATCTCTTGGCTACGAGACTAAATCTAGAAGGCCTCCATGGTTTGATGCTGAGTGCCTTCAAGCAGTAAAAGTGAAAAATGAAGCCTACAGAAAGAAGGTTCAGCGTCCCACAAGGCTCTCCCAAGAAACATATCGAAGAAAAAGACGCGAAGAGAAGAGATTATTCCGCGGAAAGAGAAGAGCTTGGGAAAACAAGAACATGGAGGATATAGAGGCATTGCGCGGCCAAAATGAAGTCGGCTGTTTTTTCAGAGAATAAACGAGGGTAGGGCAGCTTTCAGGCCCAGAGTGACGGCATGCAAAGACACGAATGGATCTCTTTTAAGCCACAAAGATGACGTACTAAGGAGATGGGTACAACATTTTAAAGACGCATTAAACAGAGGAACGGTGCCTGGAGAAGTAGGAGTAATGAAGGAAGACTCCCTGAATTCTATTGAACCCCCGGATGAGGAGGAAATGGAAAATGCCCTGATGAAATTGAAAAATGGAAAGGCGCCAGGCCCGGACGGAATCCAGTCAGAGCTGTTGAAATGTGGAGGTGAAGAACTTAAGAAAGCTCTGCATGATTTAATGCTGACCATCTGGGAGAGGGAAGCTATGCCTACGGAATGGGCAACAGCCATTATCTGCCCAATACATAAGAAAGGAGATCAAACAGAATGCGCTAACTATCGAGGAATCTCACTCCTTTCGTGTGCTTATAAGCTGCTCTCTAACATTCTTTTTGAGAGGATTCTCCCGTATTCTGAAAAGGAACTGGGGAAATATCAGGCTGGATTTCGAAGAGGACGCTCAACCACTGATCAACTGTTCTCTCTGAGGATGATCCTAGAAAAGACTATGGAGCATAAGGTAGTCACCCACCATTTATTCCTAGACTTTAAAGCAGCATACGACAGCGTTGATAGAACGCAACTATACTGTGCCTTGGAGGAGCTAAGCATCCCTCAGAAGCTCGTACGCCTAATCAAGATGACCATGGACAGCTCGAGATGTAGAATACGCGTCGGTTCTGACGACTCCGAAGAGTTTAAAGTGAGCAGTGGGGTTAGGCAAGGGGATGCCCTCGCCTGTCTATTGTTCAACTTGGCAGAGGAGAAAGCTGTAAGAGACTCCGGTATTCAGACCAACGATATAATCTTCAATCGCCTGACACAGCTTCTTGGTTTTGCTGATGATATTGACATAATAGGTAGGTCTGAACAGGCTCTCAGAGAAGCGTTTATAGGCCTTGAAGCAGCTGCAAGACCACTTGGTCTAGAAGTCAACGAGAGGAAAACTAAGTATATGAGAGTTGGTGGTGAGGTGGATCTGAACTCTCCATTTGAGGTAGGTTCTTTTAAGTTTGAGAGAGTGAAAAGTTTTATATACCTTGGGTCTGAAATTAATAGCAAAAATGACATGGCTCAAGAAATACAAAGAAGGATCACGGCTGCCAATAGATGTGTCTTTGGACTTGGCCGACACTTAAGAAGTAGGTACCTCTCAAAGAAGACCAAGCTGATCATATACAAGACTCTTGTTCGGCCTGTTTTGACATATGGCTCAGAGGCTTGGACGATGACCAAAAACGATGAGATGAAGCTGAGTGTGTTTGAGCGAGGAGTCCTCAGAAGGATTTATGGTCCAGTAAAGGAGGGTGATGTCTGGAGGAAAAGAAAAAATAGGGAGCTCAGTTCTCTCTATGCAGACATCGACGTAGTCACCTATATTAAACTGGCCAGACTAAGGTGGGCAGGGCATGTGGCCAGAATGAGCACCGTTGAGATACCCAAGAAAATAATGATGGAGAAGCTGCACCTCGCAAGACGGGTAGGAAGGCCGAGGACGAGGTGATTGGACAACGTGGCCTATGATGCGAGAACCCTGCTTGGTGTACGGAACTGGAGAGCTGCAGCAGAAGACAGATCCAACTGGCGGAGGCTCTTGGAGGAGGCCCAGTCTCGGTAACGGGATGTCGTGCCACACATGATGATGATGATGATGATTAGAGACCGTATCTTTGTGCAGTAAAAATCTGAAAAACATGCAACAAAAAACTCAAAATGAGCAAAATCCTACAATAAAAATCCAAAATATGTAAAAAACACCTAAAAACATACAACAATCATCTATTTTGTTTAATGAGAAGGAATTAGTCGAGGGTGCGGTCAAAAAAATAAAAAAAATTAAAATATATAAATAATTTTAATTATAATAATAATTATAATAATAATTAAAATTATTTATATATTTTAATTTTTTTTATTTTTTTGACCGCACCCTCGACTAATTCCTTCTCATATCATATCAACGGTCAACCAACTCTACATTATTTTGTTTAATTTATAATATTAATACATCAAAGCAAAGAATATCAAATTGGTACACATCACATCTTCATTGATTTCAAGCAAGTATATGATTCCATAAATTGTGAGGAAGCATACAAAGCAATGATAGAAATGAATGTACCTAAAAAACTTGTAAGGCTTGTTAGAATGACAATAGAGGGTAATGAGTGTTTCGTACGAGTACAAGGTGACTTGTCACAGGGGTTTAGAACATCGAGAGGTGTAAGGCAGGGAGACACTGTGGCATGTCTGGTATTCAACTTTACCCTTGAAAAAGTCATAAGGGATTCTGGTATCCAGACTACAGGAACCCTCCTAAATCGAATGACCCAAATACTTGGATATGCGGACGTTGATATAATGGGAAGATCGTTTGCGGCAGTACAGGAAGCTTTTACAAGTCTGGAAGAGTCGGCAGCCAAAATTGGTCTTATTATTAACGCGTCCAAAACAAAATATATGTCCACCCTATCCTCACGTCTAACAAGGGAAAACCAAGCATGGCTGGAACAGCGTGGAATCGAGAATGTTGACGAATTCGCATATCTTGTTTCATTGATAAATGCACGAAATAACATTGATTGTGAGATAAACAGGAGGATCGCAGTGGCTAATCGGTGCTATTTCTCCCTCCAGAGATATCTTTGCAGTAGAATGTTGTCAAGACAGGCCAAAATAAGAATATATAAAACTCTTATTAGACCAGTGCTCACATATGGCTGTGAGAGTTGGACCTTAACTAAAGCAGTTCAGAAATCCCTGCTCAGATTTGAAAGGAGGATTATACGACGCATATTTGGAGGGGTCCAGGAAACACCACAGAATTGGAGGAGGAGAACGAATTTGGAAATAAAGACATTGTTTAATGACCTGGATGAGAGCCAATTCATCATACTGGCAAGACTACGCTGGGTAGGACATGTCGCGCGGATGGATATGAATGCACCCCCACAGAGAGCTATGAATGAGCCTGTGTTTGGAAACAGACGAGTGGGAAGACCA